ACAATTGGAGAGTTGCCAAATCGCGCCGCGACTGGAATCGTCGTGTGAGGTATGCCTTAGGCGTAACAGATCTAACGCGCAAGTTCGCCGGCACCACAGCTGCGCTATAATGAATATCAAATCCTTTCGGCTTGCAACATTTCGTTTACGTATATAATTGACATTAGCATTTTAATCTGATCAGGAGCGATGAACACCTGTGAGCTATTCCGAGACTCGGTCATCGACTATCGCAGCATTGGCACAATTGCCTACGACGGTTCAACGGTCTACTTCGACGGGATCAAGTGCGATGGTCCTCCTCCGTAGTCTGTATGCTATCATTTACATAAACCTGTGTCATCACTATACATATTTGAGTAGTTGTACGTAACGGACTTTTGCTACGCTATCACGAAGATTTTTGTAAGTTCAAAGAAACCGTCGCAAAAGTTTGCTCATGTGTGCCTGATTTCAGTCTAATCTTCTAGACACATTATATTATTCCTTCGTGCAAATGTTTACGGGTTTATTAGTGATATATGTCGGATAATGGTGATTATACTGTTTCCCCGATTTGAATGCGCTGAACAATTGTATGCAATTGTTGTGCACATCATGCTCAGGATTTATGACAATAAAATAATTGATATTGTGTTTAATCAAAAAGACAAATAAGGTTGAATTTACTTTATGAATGCTACGCGTATGTTTTTCCCTAACCGATCCGAATTTATGAGTGTAGGCAACAAATTGAACTTCGGAATGCGCAAATTAGTAGCAATCGCAGAAAGCCTGATGTTTGAGCTGTGATCTATTGGGTCGGAGAGCGCAAAAAATGTACAGTACTGTACTTAGGACTGAGATTTTATTCTGTGGTTCCTTTTCGCATAAATAGAATAACCTGGTTGGTTGCCCAGATGTTTTGCCCTGTAAAGATGCTTCTTTGCTGGTTATGTACATATTTGATTTTTCACCATCTCTAATTATCGATAATTAGTAACCCAACGATTTCACTTCCGATACTTGCATATGGTATACTTCTCGTTCTGCGCAGCCATCTTTTAGGTGGTGGTGTAACTTAGCGAGTAATCACTACCAGGAATGAGCATCATAATCTGGTCCTGGACCATGTTTTTGCAGACATGAATTCAGAATTTCATTCAGGTGTTATCTTAACCATGTACGCAGTAAGCATAACTTCGAAGACGCAAACTTCTTCCCTGAAAAAATTCCTTTTTTCAACTCAAATGCAGGTCAGAGAAGGGGAAAATGGGTGTTTTCATGTGATCTTGCATCGGCCGCGGGCTAGGATATTTTGTTTCAAGGCTTCGTCCAGATTGTTGATGTTTTCTCAACTGCGCAGTGGCTTGGAAATCCCAAATTCGTCAAAGTGTGCTTCCGCTACATGTTTACCGACTCAAACTCTTCGTCAACATTTCGATATGTGTTTGTAGCAATTTATATTAGGTTGGAAAGAAAAGAATGTCGCTTTTTT